TTCGGGCAGTAGAAGCCACACTGTCAAAATTTCTTTAGGAATTTTCTAGTTCTTTCTGTCGCCCAGCCAGGAGACAGCGAAGTGAAATAATCCACCTTAAATTAAAAATATTGACAAAAATAACAACAAAATACCATGAAAGTAATAAAATGTGCCATTAATAAAGAGGACACGTCTTGATCCCCTGGCGGAGATGCATCCAGAGGTGTAAAGTAAACTCATGACTGAGAAGGAAAGGTTATCATCTTTTATCATCTTTTTCTAATAATTTGTATTTTTCACTCAACAGTTCCGCTACAAGAGCAGAGTCTACAGGCAGCCCGATGTGGACGAGAAACAGATCGCCAAGCTCCACACAAAGGTACGAGTTTGGCCGTTTAGAAGAGAAAAATACCCAATAATAAGTCTAAATGTCAGCCATGTTTGTGTTCAGTGTGTTGGGCTCTTAAAGGCACACTGGCTCTAACAAACTGCAGATGATGAAAGTTTGAGCGTTGGCTGGGAGCAGAACGTGGTTATGAAAATCATGCAAAATCAACACGTTTATTCCAACTCAAACAAATAGCATGCATCATCTCCTGTGTGTACAGTAATCAAGGTGATGTTCTGGTTATATTGAATGGATGTGAGAATATAGAGGAAAAAGCTATTAAAAATAATCTGAACAGCAAATAAAGACGTTCAGAACGGCAGCTGATTCCCTGGTCGGTCGCCGGCCAGCGATCGAATCCACTCTGTTTTGAAATAGCGAGAAACATTTCCAGCTTGGAGGCAAACTAGAGAGATGAAGAGTCGAACAGACAAAGATATTCAAGAAAGAGATGTCACCTCAGTCTCACCGCCATGGTGGCCGGACTCTGGGAAGTGCGGCGTGAAAACACCAAAGACTGTTTCACGCCAAAATGAGATAAAACTCACAGATTGCATTTTCGTTTTAGCAGCTTCACTGGTAGAGAGTGTTTGTGTCTACCTGTCAGTTTGGGATCATTTTGAGCTTTTCTGTTGCTCTCTCATGATCTGACAGAATGTACGCCTCTGTGTTCCTGCCAGTCCCGACAGCCGGCCGCTCCCCGGCTCCGTCTCTTGTTCCTCACACGTGCATTGAAGTAAATCTCTCCAGTAAACTGGAGAGATTTAGCCTCTTGCTCGTTGTGTGAGGCTAGCTCTGGGCTGCCGTCCCGTACCTACTGTAGTCCTGTAGAGCTGCCAAAGCATAAGCTTCTCTGGCAGCTCTCTTGTTACCGGCACACTAGGAAACCGTCTGACAGCTGCTCTAATTCTGAAGAGAGGAAGAGGACGGAGAATGAAAAGATGATAACTCACACGTTTACCTTACGAGCCAGAAAATGCGGATCTTCGATGATAAACATTTAAATTAAACGCTGAGTCCGTTCTTTCTCATTTCTTAGCCCGACCCATCTCTTGTTTTGGAGCTGGAACCGGTTTGCCGTGCGGGCTGGTGCTCTGTGGTCGGCTGAAGCTCTCACTGAGACAGACAATCCGTCACCAGCCTCACAACCTGCTTTTAGCAAAGAGGGAGAGACAGACAGACAAACAGAGAGAGAGGACGCCATACTCCAGAGTCTGATTCACCAGGCCTGCAGAGACGCATGCACACACACACACACACACACACGCACACACACACACACACACACACACACACACACACACACACACACACACACACACACACACACACACACACACACACACACACACACACACACACACTCACACACAGGGGACATATCAGCTGCATTAAATAAAACTATTTTATGAAAACACAGGAGCTTGTACTTGAACCATTAACATTTCCAGATACTGAACCGGCAGTAACTCATCACGGTTAATATCAAACTCTGCATCTTTGACTTAAACTCGTTGGTTTTCAACACAGTCGGCAAAATGTTGTCATTTTGCAAACCACAAGATAACTGGAATGTCGGCATTTCTACACCAAAAATAGGTTTTCATAAATACGTTTCATATCAGCCTCTTATCACACCTGCAGATACGCACAACGCCACGTGGTTAACGCTGTGAAGCGGTTGGTTAAGGTTAGAAAAAAGATCATAGTTTGTGTTCACATAATAAAGTAACAACGTAATGTAAGTAATGTAATAGCTTAACCAGCATAAAGAAACAACAACCGTCCTCAGTGGACTTTCTTACGTAACGTTACATAACAAGTGTAACGGAGGTTTCCTTGGTGAAAGTCCTGTGTTTGTTTGACCCCTCCCATTATTACACCCATTATTATACTATGGAACTTTAAATAACGCTCGCTCGATATACTCACAGACTGTATAAAAGAAGTGAACGTACTCATCGTGACATCACTCGTTGGTTTGTGGACGTTTTGAAACCTCAATTTCGACATTTTGGCCGTCGCCCTCTTTGTTTTTCTCAACCAGTGAACAGGAAGTGACCATATCTGAACTGAGGAGGAGTGACGTAGAGACGTTGTATACGTCTCTGGTGGAGACCTGTCAATCACTGTGTAGCCCCGCCCTAAAGCATCCCCTGCTTTATGGTCTGTTTGACTCTAAATGGACCATAATGTACTAAATGAACATCATGCTGTATTGAAGAAGACTTGAAACTAGAGATTGAGACCATAAACTCATGTCCACATTAAACATCTGTGGTTTTCAGAAATGTGCATCTTTTCATGGCTGGATTGTTGGTTTTAGTTAATCAGTTAAAATTATATTTGCTTTCATTAATATCACAAAATGATCTTTAGGAATGTAGATAATTTAGCCATTAAATTAGTACGTAACAAACTAATGAAATCATTCAATATGAAGCTAGTGCATCTTGATAATGATGTCGGTTTTGATGACTCTAAAAGACTTCTAGCGATGAATTTTGGAGCAGATTCCCGGGATGGGGATCGGCACCGATTCAGGGATCTTTGATGCGTTGGGCTTTAAAAATCCAGAGCCGATGTTTTTCTTTCCTTTTGTGTGGGAACACCAGCTGTTACAATGTGCAACTGTATATTTCTGTATCTGAATTTTGCGTCGGTCTGACATCATTTTCCAGTCGGCTGTTGTTTCGTCCTGACCAGTTTAGCAGCGACGGACAAAGTCTGGGTCTGAGATTCAGAAGTCTGGAACCAGTTTAACAATGTGGTCCTCCTAGCACCTCAAACTGATCTGAAGGATTCGTCACGAAGTCGGATCCATTTTTGATAATATCTCCGTTTCTACAAGAAAAGATAGCTGTGATAAGATGTCCTGAATGAGTACAGTGCAGCTGTACATGGTGGGGAATCACAGATTAAAATAAGACGTGAATCTCTGCGCCTGTGTATTTGCTGAAACACTTGGATTCAGATATCTGGGGCAACGCGATGTGATGAGGACATCCCGCTTTCTACTCCTCCTCACTTATTCTTCTGCCTCTTCTCCTCTGTCTGTTCTGTTATTTTGCTACCCATTGTCTTTTTTTCCTCCTATGCTATCTCAATCTTCACTCCTCATCTTCTCCTCTCCTTCGGGGAGCTGCTCTCTTATCTATTTTTATCATGCGGCCTGGAAAGAAAGCAGACAGGAACAGAGCAGAGAGGAGAAGCCACTCCGCTCCCCACAATGGCCACAATCTCGATCCTCTCATCTCCCCTTCCTGTGCGTCCTGCTTTCACTGGCCTCTTTTATTCCATCTTCAACAGCGAGCCTCCCTCGGTATCACACCGTCGTCCTAAACGCTTCCGCTCCTCACCCTCAGTTGTGTTTGACCCTGGACACCTTCCTCTATCTCCACTTCTATTTCAGTCCTTCTGCAGCTCTGAACCTGCTGTTTTCTCTCTCACACCCACCGCCGTTTGTTCTTTCTTCCCACTGTAATGACTCTCCTTCTCTTCTCCGGTTGCGCAGGCCAATCTGAGGAAGTTCATGGACCTCATCCAGCACAATCAGGTGGACAAAGTGATGAAGTTGTTGGAGAGAGGCTTCGATCCCAACTACCATGACGGGGACACTGGTGGTAAGGCAGAACTCTGACTACAAACACCCCAACACACAAAGACTAAGACACACATGAGTCCCAACATGTATTTAAGCGTGAGTATGCTGTCGATCATTGATCCGCTCTCATGAATACTTTCACAGCCCTGACAAACTGATGTCATAAAAGATATCGCCGTCATTCTGCGTAATAATTAGCTATGTAATAATAATATTATTAATAGTACATTTATTTATTATTCGTTATACAAATATACTTTACTTGGTAAAAACATAAACAGTGAACGCGTTAGCAATAAAAACAAACCAAATAATCTACATTCTACCAGTAAAACATTCAATCACTGTGTCTGTGGATCTGTTTGCTGCACACAGAGAGAGTCTCTCTCCTTTATCTTCAGGGTAACGGACTGTTTGACGAACGGGCCCTCAGTCTAACTAGAGACTTTTTAGATTATTGTTGTTTTGGAATAATGTGCCTTCATAACAATGTGCAGTCTCCTGTCAAACCCCAATCATTTATAACAAACACCTCAACAACCAAATACATGACACTATGTGACTTGAGATCAGCCAGCAGCTCGGACACCATGAATATAATAATACATAATAAAGATGGGAGCTGATATGTAGCTTTATTTGTCAACCAATATTTCAGTTGAAACTGTTAAGACCCGATCCTCATGGCAGTGTTCTGGCTGACTGATGGGTAATAAGTTTACCGTTTGCTTTTGTTTTTCATGTCTTCCTGCTCGTTTATATTTTTGTCATTTTTCAGTCATCATCAAAATGCAACAAGTTATATTTTCAACACTCGGCCCAATTTAATATGTTTACCCTTTCCCTCATACTGTTAGTACATCTTCATACTGTTGGTACATCTTCATACTGTT